ACGTGATCAGATCAATTTGTTTTGTGTGTGTGTATAACAAGTTCCTTTGATTGATTGGCATACATCTCAGGCACACATACTGGAACACGGCGGTCCAGCCAACCTCTGGCCTCCCTTCCTCCCCGACGGTGCTATGGAACCAACGCTGGGTTCCGCTACCCCTGACCATGGCCTAACACGCACGGACTGAAGATAAGTTATTCTATTTCTTCCTTAAAGTGAGATCGTTTGCTTCTCTGATCCAGTTCTAGTAATTTGTATAAGGCCTTAGCTTGTTGTCAGGGAGGAACTTTCATCTCATTGCTAAAACTTGGGTAAACTGTGGGCATACAAAATACATCTTTGTTTTTGTTGCCTTACAAACATGGCTGTGAACAAACCGAATGTTGGCAAACAATTGTATATCAATTTTCACTTATTATGATATTTCTGAAAGTGAAAGGGACTAAGAATAGCACAGAGAGCAGAGAGCACACGGGTTATGTTGGAAAAATTGGTCGAAGTTACAATGCATTAGCTGGCATAAATATAGCACAACTAGCATGCCTAGATGCACACAACGTTGATGGTAAGATATGCTTGACAACTACCTAACAGGATCAGATTATTCATTTTGTAAATGTAAAAAAAATATTATTGTCTTCACAACGTCCACCACTGAATATCTCTATGTATTTCTAGACCTTGATTTGATATTAAAAAGACAATCCAATTTATCTTCTCGCTTATGTCCTGGAAGGTTTCAGGATCTGTATCTATATTCGTGATTGCTACTGCATGTGTTCTGACTCGGCTTGTACCTTCATTAAAATGAAGTAATACTTAAGCTATGTATGAGTCTGATTCGTGCAAGCCTTGTTCCTACTGCTGCCACCTTGTATAAATATATACTGGTTCGTGCAATACTTGCTCCTACTTCAAATTTTTGGTCTGAACGTACCTATATATACTTGCATCAGACTAAATTTGTAGTCTGATTCGTGAAGTAGGAGCAAGGGTTGTTCCTACTGCTGCCACCATGTATAAATATATACTGGTTAATTTCATTTAACTATTTTTTCTGTCACAAATAATAGTACTATGCTAGTCAAGTGGGCAGCGTATAGAATCGTCTTGCACAGAAGTAACACGGATAATATAATCAATGGGTTTATGATAGAAAATCATTTCTGTATATCCTGAATGAATATAAACGATGCATGATTATTTCAAGTTGCACTTTCCTATCTATTATCTCATTGTTTATCAAGTATTTTCATGTTTCATAGTCCACTACATTACAATGGGTTTATATGGCCTGAACTACTGCTGCTATAGTAGGAGTTCTGTGATGTGTGTTTCGTCACTTTGTCATTTGACACACTTTTTTTGGGTTAATTTTAAGCAACCTCATGTTTAATCTTGTTTTATAGTAGATACAATGTTATTCTCATTTGTAGGCACTACAAGATTTAAGAATTCTGGACATGTAATTCATTTTTATATTTGTTGCAATTTTCTTATTTCTACTATTTATCCATATGTGCAAATATCTAATATTCTTGTTAATATGCTAGGTAAGATTGGATACTGTGCTACTTGGTGCTGCCCATCACGGCATGATCGTTGCCATCAAGAATGTCGATGGCAAGAGCTTGAATAACAGCCTCAATAGTTTATATGTTCTGTTGATGTAAAATGGATTGTACTGGTTCATAACTCTGTTGTGTGATATATTTTGTCAATCTATGTTGTATGTCATCACTTGTAGAGGATTTTTTAAACTGCTGTGTTGTAGATACATACAGATGGCTGTGTTAAACTTTGTAATGTTTCACACCTTGCAAAGATTTTTTGTTGGGAAAATTTGGCATTAGGATTTGTGTAACGCTCTTTAAATTGGCCCTTAAAAACATAGTCAAATTCTGGCCAAAAGAAACGGGATAATGGGCTAAGCCAAATTTAAAGCGCCCTTTAAATTGTGCCTAAATTCATGACGAATTTCGTGACCGAAAATAGTATCCACGTAATTCAAATTACTCAATTGAAAATCCTACGTGGCGTTAGTCCATGACAGATTGTTCCGTCACAAAGGTTTGGGCCTGGGCGGGCCAGGGGCAGATCCATGACAGCCAAGAACCGTCATGGTAGGTACGATATCAAATTATGACGCGATATACATGACGGATTTCAAATCCGTCAAGGATGGACACCCATGACAGTTTTTCACTAATTTGTGACGGACTAGATCCGTCATGTATTAGCAGATTTCTTGTAGTGATCGGCGGAGGTCCGTGGTAGTGGTGGTCGGGGCTTCCGTGTGTCGATGGTTGGATCGGTGCCTCTTGCCACAGACTTGGCGTCGTCTGAGTTGGTTGCTCAATGATGGTTGTTGGCAGCCATTGGGTCACGTCCCTCCGGTCCATCAGGATTGGAGGGAATGCAGGCGTGGGCGCCCTGACGATGGTGGCACTGACCCTGGCTCGGTGGGTGATGCCGGGCTTCTCTTGCCGCAGTTAGTGCACTGTGAAGCGGACGGTGGGCGGGGTCTCATGGCTTGGAAGCTGGAGCGGCGGCCCTGGAAGGTGGTCCGCTTGCTTGGCCTTTCAACGGGCACCATGGCAGTGGTTGTGGCTATACTTCTTGGTCATGTGGGCAATAAGAGGTGTATCGGCGGATGGCTCAGGTGGACCATTTGTCTTCGGTAGTGGAAGCGCTTCAAACTGGAGTTGGGGATCTAGACTCGCCACGCCGCTCTTTAAGACCTCATGGTGGCATGGGGAGCTACCAAGTGAAAGCTCTGCGCTTGGCCGTCGATGACGGCGACGCTTGTGGGCGTCGTTATTTTCTTGAAGACGTTGTCATGGTACTCTGCTCCGTGTCTGGGTTTCGGGTGAAAACCCTTGTCCATTGGACTTGACGGCGGCGACGCCTGACGCCTTCCCCTCTCTTGAGGGCATTGTCGTGCAGCTTAGGTGTTCTAGGGTGTTGTGTGCGGGGTTCTCATATCTTCATGTATTATCTTTCGGTCTCGTAGTCCCTAGCTGTCTGCGTCTTCTGTTTATCCTGGGATCAACTTTGTAAGAGGACTACCTCACCATCTTGTATCTTTAAACCATTTACTTTGTTTGGTTGTTGCTTTCTTTATAAAGTGGGGCGAAAGCCTGTTTTGAGAATATGCCATCTCGAATTTGTTGAACCACCATTTCTTGCTCATCCTTCTTCGGAAATTTCGAAGGTCGAGGTGTATCAAGAGCATGCCAGCACTCGCATCGCTCATCTCCTTTCAGAATTATCGTTTGCAAATTCAAAGCTCGCTCCAGCATGGATCTTATAAATGTAAATTGTTGTTTTAGTGACCTAGGTCCAGTAAATTCTAGCTCTTTCAAAAAGCTATTCTTAGGGTCGTCAAAGTGAATTTCCCATTGAGGGGTCCTTCTTTTGGGGTACAGTTGTCTGGATTTGTCATCCACATCACATATATGTTCCCAAACCTACATTGAGCTCTAAATGTTGAAAAGGAAAGAAAGGCAATATAAGTAAGGAGAAAAATACTGAGAAAGACATCACCTCAATATGCAATATTTCGGTGCATGGTGCCGCCAGAAGAAACGTTGTCATCCATAAAAGGTCGAATTCAAGAAAGATACCACGCACGTTGAGCTTCCTTAGCTTACAGAACGCGGGGAGGAGTTGCTAACTTTCAGGTTGTATGCAAAGCTGATCACAGGATAAATAAATTCAGAAAAAGAAGAATGTGTAGTTCGCAATCGCATTAATGAGATTATCTAATAAATACGTATATGGATATTCTTTATCATGCATAAACGCATATACAATGTATGTCTGAAAGTTATGACAATATAGTGAATAATACTAAATGGAAAAAATAACGTGAACACTTGGCAGAAATAAACTACTACATCCATCCGTTTCTAAATATAAGTTTTTTTAGAGATTCCGATATGAGCTCCTAATATTTCGCAAACAAAAAGTCCATGTAGTCTGAAATGGACAAAACTTTCCTTCCTCAAGAAAAAGTCCATACATGATAGAGTGTGGCTCTGTTGAGTATCCTAGCTAGGACCTAGGAGGCCTGGATCTCAAGGGTAGTAACGTATTGCACACCTATTGCCGCGGGAGACGACGCCTTATAGTAGTGGAGGCGCATTCCTGAAGTACGCCTAACTCCGTCCCTCTCTCGCAGCAACAGAGCCGACACACAGAGAGCTCTCTCGTTCGCTGCCGTCTCAAGTAGTTGTTGCCGGCATGATCTCCGGCACCAAGCGCTCCTCCCGGTCGACACTCGGCACCGCCGGTGTAGGCCGCGCGGACCCTGGGTCCGGCCGACGCACGAGGTCGAGGGGAATCAATCCGCTCTGCTCCCGTGCCTGTGCGATGCGCCCTTCAGGTGTTCGGTGAAATGCCAGCCCGGGCACAACTAAGGCAAGTCTCTGATAATTTGCTCTATTATACTAGGTGGCAATAAAACCCATGTTTACAAACCATGAGAGTGTATTAGTTTGGTACGGATCTAGTACTAGAAAACTACAGTGTCATTTATTTACAGATCCAAAAATTGTAGGGACGGAAGGTGTGTATTCTTGGAGGCAAAGCATGTGCAGCCTTAACATTTTCTTATATCGGGAGAATTTTGGTTTTGTAGATTCCGGAGTGACGAGGTCATGCCTTCATCTTCTTCATGGGGATGACTGCACTGCAGAAAAATTGGATGTGGGGGATTCCCATATCACTGAAACTACAGAATATAAGGTAATCGACAGATTTTTTGTATCTCAGCTGTCAGGATAGAACTATGGCATACATGCACAGTGACAAGCAACCATACTACTGAATAAGTTTAATATGAATCACATATGTTTCAACTATGACATGGTCACAACTGATTATTGGTACAACAGGTTCTAGAGTAGACAGATAGAAATAAGGTGCATGCTTGTGCTGTCCAATACCAACCAACATGTAGACTAAAATCATGGTGATGCTTTTCTCCATGTTTTTTAAGGGATAGCATGGTTTTCAGATGGGACATAAGGCCTTGGGGGCATCTGTAGATTCTGGAACCTCCCTGTCAACATGTTTACCACCTTTGTCATCGAGGGACGGTTCTTTGGGTTCCACTGGATGCACCACAGTGCCACTGTGGCTAGTTTTCTAACCTTTTCTTTCTCTTCTTCTGCCGTGTCCCCTGTAAGCGCCAAGTCCTGGCCAGCGATAACTTCCTCATAGATGCATTCCGGGAGGTATACCTCGTTCTGGCTCTCAGTCCTTGGATCTGAGTTCCTCCTACCACTCACCATCTCCAACACCAGCATGCCAAAACTGTACACGTCTGACTTGTGGGATATGCCCCCAAAGTTCCGGGAATATAGCTCCGGTGCAATATAGCCCAGTGTGCCTCTTGCTGCAGTTAATGTAATGATGCTTTGGTCCCTGGCACACAGCTTTGCTAGGCCAAAGTCTGAAATCTTTGGATTGAAGTTGTAGTCCAGCAAGATGTTGTGAGGCTTGATGTCAAAGTGGAGAATGCGCTGGTTGCATCCTTGATGTAGATATTCCATTCCTCGTGCAATGCCTAAAGCAATATCTAGCATTTTTTCAGGTACTAAGAGAGTCTGAAAAATATTAGAGTCGCGAGAGAATATGTATTTCTCCAGTGACTCGTTAGGCATGAATTCATAAATAAGAGCCCGTCTTGTTCCTTCATAGCAATATCCCAGGAGGCGGACAATATTTGTATGGTGGATTAGTCCAATAGTTGCAACTTCATTGATGAATTCCTGTCCCTCTCCTATAGAGTTCTCTAGCATCTTGACAGCTACAGGAACTCCATTTGGTAGCTCGCCTTTGTATACACTTCCATATCCACCACGTCCTAAGTTAACCTTGAACCGTCTCGCCATCTTCTTAACTTCAGCGAAAGTGTACCTTGTGGTTTTTGATTTTCCATGTGTATTGAGAAACATTTCAACCTTCAAATGTATCTCTCTGTTATATCTTGTCTTCAGTGAAAGATAGAGTGCGGTAGCCACCATCAACACAAGAACAACAAAGGCACCCCCTGATGATGTAGCTGCATAAATACAGTGTACAGGTAGTCAGCACATTGTCTTATGATAGAAAGCCGTAGCTTACAGATTTAATGTGGATAAGAGAATGTAGGAGTGAGAATAGCTAAATAATTTATCTGTAGCAGATACATTTTTTTGTTCCAAAAAAAAGTGTAGCATAAGGAAAATTTGAATTGAAGTAGTACCTGCAATGATTTTGACATGTGAACCTGCAAATACGAAAGAGGACAATAAGATCTCATTGATGGCAGAATAACTGATGATAGCGGAAACAAGAAGGGGCCATGATTATATTCTTACCTTGGAGAATCCAGTACGCCCATTGCACCTCCTAATCTTAGGAGGGACTCCCCCGGAAGCCATCTTCGCAGCGTTTGCCGATTATTCCAGAACCAGGTTGAACAGTAGAACGATCCAAGCAGGATGGATCAGGGGAAGCAGAGAAATCTCATCCAAAGTAGTCGCGATCTAGTCGTGATGGTGTGGAGGAGGTCGAGCGCGGCTCTAAGGTTTAGGGTTTGGACGAGGAGGGGAGTAGTCGCTGGACGAGGCGGCGGCGCGTGGGTGGTGGAGGACGCCTTGAGCGCTGAAAAATAGTCGGAGAAGAAACGGAGGGGAACGAGAAGCGAGGTCTCTATCTTACGAGGAGTGTAAATATGAAAAGCTTTTCTTTACATCGGTAAATATTAAAAGCTTTGTACTACGTACTTGTAGTTCCAAAGATAGGTAATTTGATTTGCGTATTCGACCCTGTAAGGCTATGTAATTCAAACACAAACGATTTTTATGAACTTATTATAGGTTTCAATTTAAATAGCCTGGGTACTTTTGAACTGCATAACCTAGATCATTATTGTTTGGGAAAACGCGAAGACCATGAAATAATATACTAGTATATTTTGTGAAAAGTGATAGAGCTTGCTTGATCCACCGGGGAATTTTTACAATCAGGACGACTAAATTAATGAGTGTTATATATGACTATATATGTTGGTGATGACACACTCGGCAATCTCGAAACAGGTTTTTTCCTCGCTTATTAGATGAAGCCAATCGGCCGAATGATGCTCTTCTGGTGGGTTAACGTGTCTCGTGGGACAAATCGGGCTAGACGTGGCGGCCTGGACTTCGCCGTCTTGCAAAGTTGTTGAACTGGACCTTCCCTTTTGGCATCCCAGCAGCAGACCAAGGCCAAACCCACCGCCGGCCCTAGCGACACTTGGACTACATATATGAGGAAGAACAAAATGAGCAAACTATCGAGAGGATCAGGCCTGAAACGGCACGGCGGCTCCTTCTCTCCCACCCCCGGCCGGCTCTTGATCCTTCCTCTTCTTGCTTCTTCCATTTTTTTTGGATTAGTTTGAATTACTTACAACATTTGTCACGCGGTGCTTCTTCCATTTTAATTAGCACACTTGTGCTTGTATCCAGTGGCTGTACTTCGATTCAAACCTCCATATGCTGAGTAAATCCTGCTGCCTACCTGAGAGTACCTAACAGCGGGCGTCCATGACCCAACGGCAAGGCACATGAAGGGAGCCACGCTCGGGGGAGTTCAGGTGGAGGGCTCGGTGGCTAGGGAAGGGGATGAAAGTGGATGTGCATGATTTTGGAGTTGTTTAATAGCCTTGACCCCCGTGTTCGGATGCACATCTAAAGTGGGGGGAGCTGGAGCGTCGTCAGGTCGATGACAGAGGGCAGAGAGAGCCTATGCCAACTTAGAGTCATGATGTGGCCAAAACCATTTCGCGTGAAGTCAAAACAGGGTTAGGTGGACGAATATCGTTGACACGACGAAATCTACCTTGTATTAAGAGTTGAGGGACAGAGATTGCACCCAAAAAACAATCAAGGACGGAAACTCACGAGAACCACACTTTACGGTTGGATGAGGGTCTAAAAATGTACTTTAGTCAACGAACTATAGCAAATATACAATCAAAAGAAATCGTTTTATGAAACTGTTGTTGGCCTCGTTTGCCTGATTGCCTTTTTTTTTTGAAATGGAGGTTTACCCCCGGCCTCTGCATTATAAAGATGCATGCAACCATCTTATTAAAAGTTTGCAAAATAGCACAAAGTCATCAAAGTCTTACAACTCGCAAGTGGAGCGAAGCAAATGGAAAAATAGAAAAGTACATGCTGACAATCACAACCCGTACGAAACTGTTGTTGGCCTTGAACCGGTTGAATATAGTCCGTGCTACAATCTCCCACTGGTTGCACTTAGTAACCAAAAGCTCCCTGAAGTCCATAGGAGTGAGTAAATACCACATACGGATCCAAGCAATAGCTCTGAAGATGACCTGCAAAAAGGTTAAATTGTATTGTCTGTTAAAAATAAAATCATTCCGACAGTTTCATATAACCCATAAAAGCGCACATATTCCGATCCGAATACGAGCTGCAAGAGTATGTTCAACCCCAGCTAACCATGTTCCAAACAACGACTCAATGTCAACTGGAGGATTAATGTTTGCCTCGTTTGCATGATTGCCATGCGACTTCTTACGTCATGAATGCCATCTCATGCAGCCTACAAGGCTTTTTGCTAATCAATTCAAGTCAAGCTATGTAGTCTCAAGAAACTATAAATACATTAAAAAAATTGATGTCTGCTAGCACTTCAGAACATGTCTTTTTAATACAACTTCAGAACATGTACTGAACACACGGGGATCACGCCTCAATTAAGAGGGTGTTTATTTCCAGGGACTTATTGATTTAGGGCATCTCCAGCCGCGCCCCCAACAGGCCCCCCAGGCCACTTTTTCGGCGCCGGCGCCGAAAAAACGGCCCAGCACGCCCCCAGGACGCCGAAAATCATCGGTTCGGACCTTTTTTCCGCCCGGCGTGCTGGGGAGCAGTTGGGGGCTCCGGCGCTAGGGAAAAGCACGCCTAGCCCACACCGACAGGGGAAAAGTCAAGGTTT